CCCGAACACTTTGCAAGTTTTCGTGGATACAACCCACATCTGCAACGCTGCTGCTCAACCCACAAGTGCATTTACCTTACAATTGTGACACCAGTCAAGGAGAAAGAAACAGGCTTCCCAGTGGTATAAGATTATAAATTGGGAGAACATCTCTTAACTGTCATAGATACCAACTATACGCTGAGTGAACAAAAACAGCGAATCAAACAAAGAATATAAAAAATCAGGAGATGCTTTTTGTCCTAAAATGCAAATCATTCAGCAAAGTAAGAGACACTTTAACCAGTTCAGTTCTGTAATTCCAAATTTCAGTCAGCTGAATGACATCTCAAAACTAAAATAAGTTTTACTAACAGACTGCTTAAATAAATTACAAGAAATCTTTCCCGACAGAGTTTGGGTTATGTTAATACTGACCTGCAAGCTCATTAGAATTGCACAATCTCTGTTTTTGCCTTATGTAATGTACATACATATACATTTGCATGTTTCAATAAATCACTATACCCATTTTCCATGGTTCCTGCTAAAAGTATTGAGAAAATAAGTGGTGACCCAACCTCCTGGACAGTACTCAAAAGAGTCACAGAATAGAATTTGACAGCCAAATTTTCACTTTTTAAAATGCAGAGCCGTTCAGCATAAATTGCTTTTCAGAATATCAACCAACCTGTCAAGCACAAGAAATGTACATTCTCTGCATTTAAACGATTTTGTTGTTTTTTTATGGTTTTTTTGAAGTGATGGTAGCTCAATGAATAAGACACAGTATAACTGTTTGTGCATGATTTTTCACAAACATTTGACATTTTGACACCCTGGGTTAACTTAGAGAGTTAATAACTAGCTTTGTGTGGCCACTTATTGTGTGTTGGTTGCCTCTTTCAATCATCAGATGACAAAATGGTGATTTTATACAGGAGAAGCTGAAGACGTGGAGGCGTGTAAGACTGCAACTCTGGATAAAGTAAAAGAGATGGACAAGACGCTAACACCTATAAAAGAGAGGAAACAAGTGAAGTAGCTGGAATGTTGGAGTGTTTCTTCAGTTTAACTATAACAAGTGGACTGATTTGGATAACACATGTTGGATTTGATAAATTGTATAGGAGGACAGGAAGAGTGGTGTGAATGTGAAAACCTGCACACCACTCCTCTTGACCTGTACAGGTTCAGTAAGACAGAAACTTTTGGGCTACCTCCTGGTCTCCTGTATTTCCCAAGAGGTTCATTAAAGCATTGATGAACCGCCAACAAGACGACACCACTGCCATCATTGATACAGGCTGAAATATAGGTTCAAATTCAGAAAGCTTTAAAGAATGTGGTTACATCGGCTAATGATTGGGGCTTTAAAATATCTATTGATAAAAATAAGTGTATGATAACTGGACATAAAAGGAAGGGACCAACTAAACATCTGCAAATCTACGGAAAGGACCTTGAGAGAGTCAAGCAGTTCAAATTGATCAAGAAGCTGGATATAATTTGGTCGAAAACTCTACGAGTGCACCGGATATTTTTGCACCACTCCAATATTGTCCTTTTAGTAGAAATGTGTGAAATGCCTTTGAAAATGAGAAAATATAGGCTTGGGCTGAAGTATTTAATAAAAAGAAAAGGATGAAATGTAATAGTTCTGGTTAAAACTGGGCTAGCACTGGGAATTCTTGGGATCAGCAAAGGAAGTCAAAATCAACTTTAATGAGGAGTTGAAATCCATGACATGAAAAAATTGGCTTTGTTGACATGGATGTGTGTTCTCCTGTCTGTTGGTCAGGTATACCATCATGGCTGATTCTAGGTCCATACTCAACAAGAACAGGAAAAAGAACTCAGTAGATATCGTAAAAAATAACCTACTCTAGGATGGAACACCTTTGGATTGGCTATTTACAAATTTATACAGATGGGTCAAAGGTCATGTAAGTAGCAGAGTGGCTTGTAGTGTGTACATACGTGAAAACAGAGTTTTAAAAAAAGCTTGTGTATATCAGATCAGTTTTATGGGCTCTCTGGTGGGTTGAGGACCAAAGGCACGATACTGCATCATATATACAGTGATTCAGCTGCAGGTTTTTTAGCATTTAAGGAGCAGAACCAGACCTGACCTGACTCTAGAGACACCTCGATGCAGCAGCATGTTCATCAAAGGAAAAAGCTGTTCAGAGACTTTGATCAACTGGAGAAACTGTTTTCAATATTTTTTAAAAGGAAAGCTGTTACATTACCTATGCAGTGCTAACCTGTAGAGAATATAGAGACCTGAGACTGAGCGTGTGGCTAGCTCGCTTATCTAGAAGAAAACTTGGGAGGTAGTGAACAGTAGATGGCAGCAACACGCCATTGTTTCATCTAGCCTGCCAAACCAAAAGAAGCACCCGCCTCTCCACAAAGCAGTAGTCAGACACAACACACGGGTTTAATTGCTAAGTAAGGTCAGCTGTACCAAAAAGGGTCGCACCAAT